AGTGGGTTTGTGGAGACATAACTCATACTGTGATTATAGAGTTTTCAGAGAGACACGTGAAACTGTGTTTTCTTAAAAAGGCTGTATTTTAGAAAATAATGTGTGCAATAAATTGTCCATAAAGGTCACCCGGGGAGGAGGGTGAACATCTGTATGGTTTTTTTTTCTTATTCTAAAGCTTTCTCTGGTTTCAATTAACTACGTTGTTGAAGCCCCCCCACCCCTCTTTAAACACCTGGCCCCGTTCGTATTGGTGGTATGATCCCTGCTGAAGTGTTGAAATTTCAGTGTCTCCAGGCTACTCTAAGACGGCACGGGGCCTGCATGCCTGAAGTTAGCATGACACGCTCCATTTAAGATGCAGTTGACAATCAAATAAGTTTGTGTAAGCCAGAGTGTTGCAATCCCTAATCATTTTGCCAAAAATAAGTTAGCTGTTATGTTTTATAACATATGAAGTGTGATAATAAGAAACTTGTGTTTCCATCTCTTCTGTTATTTTTACTGGAATATTTGACTCCCATAAGATTTTAAGGACATAATGTGTAGTTTAGTAGCTGGTTTATTTGGTTTCATTTTGGTTCAGTTCTTTACAATATTTTTGTAACTAATTATAGGAAACTTTGGTCTTAAAATCATGTAAAGAGACATTGCATATTTTAGACATATTGTCTAACCTATATTTTCATAAACTAAAAAATTGGTTCTTTTAAAAATCTGGTATGAAAATTTTTTTCTTTAAGCAAATTTGGTCCATAGAATTATAGAAATTCTTCATGTGGTTTGACAGTAATGTCCAGAATAAAGAATTTAAAAGGAAACCTGAGAAAATAGGTAATTGATTGACTGTTAAATAGTAGCTGTCATGACTTACAATAATAAGCACAATTTTAGACTCCTGGGATCTTACAAGTGAGATGGGCTTTAGAGACAATCTAGTCCATCTTTCATTTTATAGATGGGAACTGAGGGGAAAGTGCCTTGCCAGGATTCAGCCCTGGCTCTGTCTGAATCCAGGGGTGGGGTACAGTTATATTAGCTATGGGTATAAAGAGAGTCTAGGAAGATATTTGATGACTCTTTCAACCTTTGGATAGAGCAAAGCCTACAGATGTTCCTGGAGTATACTCCTGTGACTCATTATGTGTCAGCTCAAGGAATCAGAGACCCCAGGAAAACTGCTCTGCAATTTGGGCAAAGAGACAGGGAGCAACATGGGAACAAAAAAGTAGCAGCCTTATCCCCACCATCTAGAGTCTCCTTTCTCTCAGCATTAATCCTACGTATGTTAAAAGTGTGCCGCCATCTGATTATGCCACTAAAATGCATCAAGTTCACGGTTGGGACTTCAAAGCCCTTGTTTCTTCATTGGGTTTTGCACTGAGTCATGAAGTGAACTTCCAGTAATTTACCTTTTTTTCCTCTAAGAATTTATATAATATTTAACGATAACACCTCCTCTCCTTCCAGAGGTATCAGATCTTCAAGACTTAATTTTTTATATTATTTGGCCTTCCTTTGGGGAAAATGCACAATAACATAGAGCTTCCTTTGTCTGTCTGGTTGGCAAAAATATCTTCTCTCTAAATGAAATTTCCAGATTAGTTAAACTCACTCCTTTAAGCACCAGACTGTTTTTATCCAGTTGGATAAAAATTTGTCTAATATATATTATTTACTTATCTGCCTTCTTCAGCAACGCATACCAACTATGGAGGAATTAGTCACTTAAGAATATCATTTTGATAGTGTTACTGTACTACAGTAAAATACAATCTTAAATGATTGTGCTTTTAAAAAACTTCTGTCTGTTTATTTTGTAATTTTCCTACTTATAATTTGTTGCTACTAATTTGCTGTGGGTAGAAAAAACAGAAAACTGTTAGAATTTTGACTCAAATAAGAATGAAAAGGTCTTAAATGAAGACATAAGAATAAAACTGACAAAATTAAGTATGTGGATTTGTTATTGTTCATAGCCTCTTTCTCTTGTTTCTTTTGGGATCCCCAGTGGTGCTTTTTGATACTCAGATTTTAAATACTAAAGTATACCACAAGGACAGCTGAGATCCTTTACTGAAAGGGATAGAATAGCACATGACATCATGTAGGTGTCAATTCAGGAGTACACCTCATCTACATTAGGGAAAAATATAAATTCACATATTCTATGAACATTGAGATTATTGAGATGCTCTGTGGCGCATTTGCATTGTTCTGATGAACCTTCACGCCTGCAGAGTTAGACATGCCTGCGAGGAACAGTCTATAACATCACTAAGCTGTGTTCAACAGTCCAGGTGATCTGGGCAGGGGGAGAATAAGAGAGGACTCATTTGTCAGAATAGCTGTTGTCAGAATCCTGTCCCCAGATTATGTGATGAGAAACAGAAAGCAAATGAGGAAGCACCACAGGCTCTGAATGTTTTGAAGAAAGAAGTGGCTTCTCATTGGGAAGAGCAAAAAAACCTTCATGGAAAAGCTGGTATTTGAACAGAGAAGGATGAGTCAGGATTTACAAGTAGAGAAGTTGACGTTTTGGTGATACGGGGTCACTATGCATTGTAAACAGTGGAAACAGTATAAAAAAAGGCAAGTTTTTATCGCTGGGCACATGGAGCGAGCAGTGAGTGGTCTGACGTAGACGCAGCATGGTGTGCATAAAGGGAGCAAGGGGAATAGGAGACCCTAAGCAGAGAGAGTGCAGGGACAAGAAAGTGTGGACTAGGGGCTTTGGACTCTGTT